AAATCTGATGAAGGGGAAGGAGAAGGAGATTCTGGAGTATGATGATGAGAATTTAATGAAAGAAAATCTGAAAATAGATCGAAATCGAAAGAGGTATCATCTTGTGAAGGAGAAAGAGAAGGATCACGATCACATCTACCAGATAAATCACATAAAGGACGATTTGCATGAACCAAAATGTTTTCCATTCTCATTACTATTATCATCACCATCATGAACATGGCTACACTTTTTGTGTTCATCATTTTTTCTCTTTTCACAAAAAGTTTTTTGAATAAGAGATGCTGAAGTTTTTTGTGAATGTTGATGTTTGAGTGCTTAGTTATGAGTTTATATATAGGAGGATGTGTGTAAGTTTGTGTTATAGATGTATGAAAAATATTGAGGTAAATTGTCAAAGAATAGTTAAAATTAATCTAGGTGCTTTTCCAACTAGGAATGATATTATATATACCAGTTCTTTTTTATTCATAAAATATAAGATAATAATTACTTAAAATTAATCATTCACGAAGGTATAGAATTTGTTTTTATATTTGTACCTATTTATTGCCAACATAAAATAATCAATTATTGTTTAACAAATTTGTACCTACTTTCAAATTTAATCTTAGTTTACTATGTTGATCAAATTTCTCAAATAATAACAAATCGAGCTTTAATTAATTTAGTGTGAAAATTTAGGAAGTATTATGATTTTGTTGCAAGATAAGTTCTTCAATCATATTTTCCAAAATATTCAATAATTTTTTTTTCAATAATATAGAGATACGCCTAAATATAGCACTAATTTGAGTTGTTTCATGAACCTAATTAACTTCTTAAATCTTTAATTTTGACATCCCTAAAACAGTAAAAACAATTAAAGAAAAATCAATCTTTGATTTATGGTAGTGTGATAATTGGAAGTATTAATATTTTATTTGTAAGATGAGTTATGACAATGATGTATTTCAATTTAATATTACAGATATTTCTCACAATAAAGAAAGGAATTTTTTTGAGAAATGCCATTTTAAAAAATGCTATATTTCCAAAATCTTTTTAAAAATGGCACTACAAATATCATGTATTCAAAATATCTTTTATATTTAGGTTAACTATGTTATGTTAGGATTTAGTTTTTAGGGTTTAAGGTTTATTAGCGCTCAAAATCCTTTTTATGGTTTAAGATTTTTGGATTTAGAGTTTAAAAATCTTTAATAAGTGATATTTTTGAAAATAGATAACTCATGGTGATATTTTTGAAATTTGACAGTCAAAAGAGATTTTTTTGAAATTTGACACGTTAAAAGAGATATTTTAGAAATTCCTCCCGACATAAGTTCAGTTCTACTATGAACCTAGCATAAATTTTTAACTTTTCAAAATTTAAAACAGTTGAAAAACAAA